CTCTCTCTCTCTCTCTCTCTTTCTTTCTTTCTTTCTTTCTTTCTTCCTTCCTTCCTTCCTTCCTTCCTTCCTTCCTTTTTTCCTGAACAGAGTTAGTCTCCTCCACACTTGATCTTTGGGGAGTGGAGAGCCAAGACATGTGTGGCCTCCATGGGTTCCTGTGTGGGAAGGGGCAGCATTTCCTCTAAATTACAAAGGGCCACTAAATTACCCATAGGTCCATATTTCCAAGACCTCTCCTTGCAGGACAGAGACCCACAGAGAAACCCTTGGAAACACAAAGTCACTCATTCACTGTCTTATCATGGATAATCATTCATGCTGAGCAGAGAGGGAAGCACATGGTATTATTCATTTCACTCCTCAGCTGCCTTCCTAGGGGATAGCATGTATAGGTAAATTTGTTACGTATTTTAGCAAGGCTGCAATAGATGACTAGGGTGATCATATGATTTACTGTCCAAACCAGGACATTATGAGACTTAAAGAGGGTTCTAAAAATAACTAATAGGCATTAACTGATCAACAACAGATGTAGCCCGGGACTATCCTGGGCAAACCCCCTACAAAAAATCCTGGGTGCTCAGGGACCCTGGACACTCCACAACCACACATTATCAGTTGGTGACTGCTTTCTATCCAGCGTGATTTAAACTTCATTCATTCACTCACTCATTCATTCATTCAATAAAATATCCATATGCCAGGCCCTGTGGATAGTCCTGTGAAGAAGGTAAGTCCTGCCCTCATGAAACATATTCTAGTAGAAGAAATGGAAAGTAGACAAATAAATGAATAGAACACATAGTATCAGGGAGTGATGAGGCCTGACAAAACCAAAGCAGAGCTCAGGTGATGGGAGAGACGGGTGAGGGGAGGGATGGCCTCTCTGGGGGAGCCTCCTCAGCCCAGCCCCACCCGGCCCTAAGTTCCTTCCAAGGCTTGCTCTCGGTGTGTTCTAGCGATCATCATCTGGACTCTGGACACCAGAAACAAGTTGCTGTCCTGTAGAGCAGGAGGGGGACGCCCCTGAACCCCCTTACCTTTGGCTCTGTGATCTTCCTCCTTGGGGCACTTGCCACCTTCCCACCATTTGCGCTTGAGAATTTCTAGGCGGTTGTTCTCCTGCAGCTGGAGAATGGCCAGGTCAAACTCATCCCGGAAAACCGAACCTGTGGGGTCACAGGAGAGCCCAGAACACAAGGTGTAAGTGACCTGTTATGCGTCACTCGGCTCCTTTCCCCGGCACACCTCCTGGCCACTCTGCCCACTTCACCTCAGGAGGAGAGGGACAGACGTGGCAGGGGTCCCTACAGGAGCATGGCTCTCCGCCTGGCTGCTTCTGAGGACCCTCCACGGAGAGGAGGGAGTTCTGACTGTATGCAGGGCACTGGGGCCTTTCTACTTGCCTTCTCTCTCCACCGATGCCATGTGCAGCCCCCGGCCAAGAACCCAGTGAGGCTCAAGTGACAGCTTGACCTTTCAGGCACCCGTGGAGCCCCACTTCCCCACCACTTTCTACTGAGGTTAAACAACCTGCCCACGGACACTCGGGAAGCTGGTCACAAGGCTTCCCACCCACCTCCAAGAGGCCAAGGTGGGAAACCTGTGACACAAACCTCTCACTTGGTCAGCGGTCTGTCTTCTACTTGATCTAAATTCATTTCCCAGGCACTTGTAACTCTTGCTACATTACACCTGAACAACTGTTTACCCAGAGCACCCCCAGTGAGAGAAGAGCCACCCCAGAGAGTGACGGAAGCCACCGCTCCACCATCTGTGCGCAGAAGCCAGTCACGGGCAGCTCCAACCTTCCCACCTGCTTGCTGAGTGTCGTCGACAGCCCCCCGTCCCCATCCATCACCCTGTGCACACCGCTCCTCCCTCCCTCCTCAGACAGAAGGCTTCTGTTCAGTGCAGTTCTTTTTTAATTTTTCTAGCGGAATATGGTCAAGGTGCTTTGGTTCTGGAATTTAGGTTTAATCACAAAAATAGGCTTAAATGAAACCATGGAAAGCTCAATGCCTCAGCACGGGCTGAGGCCAGAGATCATAAGGAAAATGCTGCCAAGAGGCTGGAAATCAACTAAGCTGCTCAGTTTTCTTGCTCAAGCTCTGTGAAGGCCTGATGTGGACAGATGCCTCAGGGGAAAAGGCTACAGCGAAGGATTCAGGCAGAAGCTTGGAACAAATAGATTTGTGCTCTCAAACTTTAATATGCACGGGAATGACCTGGGGATCTGGTTGACCTGCACTCTGATTCCATGGGTCTAGGATGGGGCCTGAGATGGTTCATTTCTTTCTTTCTTTTTTAATATTTTATTTACTTATTTGAAAGAATGAGCGAGAGAGAGAGAGCACAGGTGGGGTGAGGGGCAGAGGCAGAAGCAGACTCTCTGCTGAGCAGGGAGCCCGATGCAGGGATTGATCCTGGGACCCCAGAGCCGAAGACAGATGCTTAACCGACTGAGTCACCCAGGCGCCCTCTGATTGTGCATTTCTAACAAGCTTCAAGGGGATGGCCTGCCGCTCAGCCATAGACTGCCCTTTGACAGGCCAGGGACTAGATCAGCTCCCAGATCTCTTTGGACTCTGACAGCCCATGACTCCACAGAGGAAACCTTCCCTACTGGAGATACAACTACGCCTGGGCATGCACACCCCCAAGGCTGCGGCATAGTATGTGTCTATGCAAGCAATGTGGGCCAACATCAAGAGCGCCTCATGTATATAGGAACTCAATACACATCTGCAGTGGACGGCTACTTGAACTAAGAGATGGTGCTAGGTGGGGAGACTAATGAACATTCCAGGTTTACAGACAACTGTCCAGCCCAGCCAGGCATTTCAAGCAGTTTTCAAGACATTTTCAACCCAACCTCAACAGCACCTCAGGGGCCCCCTGAAAAGATTATTCGGTTTACTCCATGTTTGCCTGCTTTGCCCCTAAACCACTTAACTCATTTCCCATCTCATTCCTTGTTCTGTTTCTCTTAATATTCTTGGGTCCAAGCACATTACTTATTCTCTGGTTATGTCCTTATCCCCTCCCCCCCCCCACTTAAAAAACGACACACATGCTGTCATCTTTCCTGGACGTAACCTCAGCTGGATGTAAATTCTGTCTCATCAATGGACTGTGTGACGCTCTTCCCAGCCTGAGCTGAGAACCTGGACAAGCCCACAGCTCACTTTCCCACTTATACTGTCTTGTTGAACCGGTGGGACCCTCTGGCAACATGGTCTGGAAAGCGAAGCACTCAATCTGGAGACAGGCAGTCTAGGCTCAAACCCCGCTCCTCTACTTACTGTGCGACCTTGGACAAGTAAGTCGTCTCCTCTGAATCTCAGTGCTCTCCTCTAGGGTGAGAAGGACCACATCTACCTCGCAGGTGGGCTGACATATGAAAAATAGCATCATGCCAGATACAGAAGAAATGTATTTCCTTCCCTTTTTCCTTCGTTATTGATAAAAATTTCTAGAGTTGGTCTGCTTTGTGTCAACTCTCTACAGGTTTGTTCCATGAAAACTTCTGAAGCATTTGAGATTTCAATTAAATTTCTTAAATTGCTGGATCCTGATCAAGGTGCATCTTAAAAGTTTATTTTGTGGTTCACTCCACAATCTTGAAACAAAATGGAAGCCAATAAATTTCTCAAAGAGGCCCATAATCTGTATATTAACAAATATCAATGAAATATGGTAAGAAGAGAGTATGTGGGTTTACACGTGCCCGGAGTGAGGGCTCTGGTTTATAGAACTGCTAGTGTCAGAATTCACTGAGCTCAAGAAGGAACTGTATCATTGCCTATGCTCATTGGCTTGGCTTTCCACCCATCTTCAAGAAGTCATCTGCTTTTATCAGATAACATAGGGGATTAGGGAGAAGATGGGGAGGGTACTCATCTTCCCCACAAGCAGGCTAAGTGGGAGATGCTGTGGTAAGGCACCTGACCGGATTATTAGGTTTACCCCTTAGTTACCCCATGAGGCAGGTATTAGAAACCTAATTTTACAGATAGAATAACTGAGACTCAGAGAGCTTAAATGATCTGAGGTCCCCCAGCCTGGAGCCAGGTGCATTCCCAGGTCTGCCTGACTCCAAACCCACGCTTTTCACACTCCACAGGTATAGTGAATCCAGTAGAGTTCTGAGTTAGGTAAAGATCAAGAGAAGGGGTGTGTTAGATAACAGCAAAGATGTACATGCTTTCCCCACATGGTCTGGTGGCCTTAGTTGCTGTTTCCCCCCTGCTGCCTTGTACAGGATAACCTTGTAGAAGAACAGCGTTGAGTGAGGACAGCCCTATACAGTGTGACTCTCCATGGTGGGTGGGGGAAGTGTGTATGTGCCAAGCACCTAGGGAACACTTTCGGATTCCCTCGCCAATCCAAAAAGCAGTTCATTATGCTTCCCTTCACCTTCCTTTTGGGGAAGGCCCAAAGTGTGAATATCCTTTAGAAAGCACAGCTGGGAGACCTTTCGGGAAGCCAAACATCCCCACCATCCCGTAACAGCCAGGAAGGTACACAGCCAAGTGAATACTGAGTTCTACCTCTTCTTCTCAATGACCTTCACTGATTTGGAGTAGATGGGTCCATGAGACCCACAAATGATCTGAAAACCACTTTCTCTCATCATGTCAGTCTCCTTTTGTAATAAGCCTTTCACCAGGGACACTAATAGCAAAATTAGTTAAGTTTGACCATCTCTTCCGTCTCCTTCCCACTGCTGGTAGAGAGGTCCATCAACAGAGAAAGGGCCAAAGGGCAGGAAGCAGAAGAGTGAACAAAAGCCCTGAAGAATCCACCAAGGGCATCAAGATGCCCTTGAGTAATTGATCAATTAATAACTAATCAAGTCATCCTTCCATAATTAAAGACTGAGAGTGGGATCACTGATCAGTAGAAATATGTGGATTTGCTTGTTTTTTTACCCTGGAGAATGCCCACCTAAAGTCACTGTTAACTGGTTCTAGAATAGGGTTGTCGAATTCAGTGCTGCATTCAGTGGTCCTAGCTACTCTGACCCTGCCTGGATGGTGCTACCCAAAGAGGCTGTCCCTCTCCTGCATACCGACTGGCATGCCAATCCCATAGCCCTTGGTGTCCAGCAGGCCCCCAATCTGAGTGAGGTTGCAGTTTCGCTGCCGGTAGTACTCATTCATGGTGGATTCCAGAAGGAAGGCGTAGTTGGAATTCAACACCCTGGCGATTCCCTCCTCGGTGCTCTTCACAAACACACTTGGCTGCTTAGAATACATGTAATTCCACATGCGTTGGTAGGTCTGATAGCGGGAATTCTGGGAGAAGAACACAAGGAAGCAGGGTTAGAACAAGAGAAAGGAAATGTTGGCATTAAAAGGGAGGGAATCAAAGTGGACCTGAAAATCCTGGCCCTTTTGTTACTCAATCCCCTCATTATTTTCAATATAACCTTTTCCCTTCCGTCTCTCAATGGCCACTGTATCATGGCAGGAGGGGGCAGCCATGCCTCTGATACCTTTCACAGAAAGGCAAGGAAAGAACAGGGTCCTAAGGCACTGTAAACTCTGCCTAGTGGTTTGATAATCGGTTTTGCCCCATCTACCCTAGAGAAGTCTTCCACTGCCAACCTCCGGGTTCTGATAGAATGAAGAGTGGAAATTCTGGTTGTGTCCTTCGCTGTCCTTTAAGTTGGAGGCAGTGAACTCAGGGTCATCGGGATTTCTAAGAGACACCATCTGAAGGAGGAGCGCCAGCTATTTTCTGTCGACCCTAAACCAACTTATCAATCCCAGAGCCAGCACTGGCCTCTATTTTTACAAATAATAAGAAGTCTGAGAGCATTTGGCGGCGGGGTGGGGGGGGTCTATCCACACCTGTGTCTGCATGATGCCGTCAGTGGTTGTGGTGCCAACAGGCACTGAGGCTTGTATGGAAAACAGAAAACTGAAGGCTTTGGACTTGTTTCATGTGAAAATGGATGTCTTGGGTAGTAGGTTGGTTAGATACCTATTAACTCCAGGGTACTCTGCAGAGCAGGGGATAAATAAGCCCCAAGTGAACCTCCAAGTTAGATGTTCAAAAGAGATAATGGGATGAAGATTGATGTTTTTATCTTTAGAGGACAAACATCTCAACTTTACTCTGCCCAATTCCCCATGTTGGTGAGCAGCCCAATGGGTTTACTTGGAAGAAGGTCATGCTGGAGCCTCCGTGAATTGTGCCATACTCAATGGCGGTCTGGTCAGCCAGGTCATCCACTGACTCAATGGGCACATCCATGCGCTGCACAGTCAGGAAGGCTGCCAAGTTGGCCGTGTAGGATGAGATGATGATCAGCGTGAATGCCCACCTATGTAGGAAAAGACCAGGAAATCATCATTGCCCGGGTATCCCCAGGAGTTTCAGCCCCCATCCCCAGTCCTGCAGCGACACAGGAGAGACCAGGTGTCCCTCTTAGGAAGGAGCTCCCAGCTCCATGGAGGAAGACAGAGGAGGCAGGGCATATGATGTCAACAGAAATGAACAGAGTTTGTGAGGCTTGCTTAAAAGAAGACCATTCATTTTTTTTCTCATTTCTTAAAAGAGGTGATTATTGGATTGCTATTCAAAAGAGGTATGTCCATGCACATGGGACCATCTCAGAGACCGTGAGGAATGAGCTAGTGAATGAGTTAAGGGTGACAGCTCTGAGGGCTCTGTTTAGAGCCGGGGCTGGGTGGCTGCCCCTGTCTTCTCATGATGCAGCCAACCACCAGATGTGCATCGCCATGTACTGAGCACCTGCCATGAACCACACACACCATCTCATGGACTCCCGACAACTAAGGGAGGTAAAATTCTTATCCTGATTTTGCTGATGAGGCAACGGAGGCTCAGAGAAGCAAAGGAACTTGCCAAGTAACACACAGATAAATCCATATTTTAAGGACAGTTTTACCAACAAGAAACTCTTTAACTGGTGACAAGCACCTTTGAACTGCTGAGAAGTTGGAATTGGAAACTACTCTTGTGGGCACCTGGGTGGCTCAGTCCGTCAAGCGTCTGCCTTCGGCTCAGGTCATGATCTCAGGGTCCTGGGATCCAGTCCTGCATTGAGCTCCCTGCTCAGCGGGGAGCCTGCTTCTCCCTCTGCCCCTCCCCCCTGCTCATGCGTGCATTCTCTCTCTCTCTCTCTCCCTCAAATAAATAAATAAAATCTAAAAAAAGAGAAAAAAAAGAAACTATTCTTGCAATGGGCAAGCTATTTCAAAATAGAAGAGTATTTTATTGGGTAGTGCAAACTCTTTTAAAATGAGAATAATTTTGCAACTCAGGCAGTATCCATACTGAAAGCCATTACAACTAGTTTGTTCACTTCAGTAGGTTAAATAAGCCTTCTACCATCTGGTCAGCAGTGTGGATCTGCAGCCCAGTCCATTTGTTTATAGGGGTTCAAAGACATATCCAAGCATAATTGAGGTTGGATAATCACAAATTCTGAATCAGTGGTGTGTGAATTAATGAGGCTTTCCTCATTATGAAGACATTGTCAACTAAAGCATAGCATTTGCCACAAGATTCAGAGGCCAGCAGCTTCCAGGGGATTTTTTAAAGCAGGAAGTCCCATTGTTTCCTTTACCACGGTGTCCAAGGACTTCCGTGGGCTGCCTCCAAGGTGGGAAGTGACAGGGCCATCTACCAACTCAATGGGTACCTCCATATGCCAGACCACCAGGGAGGTGACCTAGTTTTACTTCTGGCCTTGTTGCACTCCACCTGTGAGACCTTGGGGGAAAAGCCACATACCTCCTCCGAGCTCGTCTGCTCGGGGATCATAATGTCTGCTCTGCCTGTCTTCAGAGAATTGTGGGATCAAATGAGATAGTATGTCACTGGTGACTAATACTCTGTAAAGGACCAGATGAATGTGAGATATAGAGAAATGGAGAGATAGACCCTCCCACTGAATATGGGATGAAAAGCATCTTCCCAATTTGGGACCTGTAAGTGCCAGGTGTCCTTCCGTCCTTAAGACCTGCGTTTCCTGCTCCTGCTTCAGCTCATACACTCTGCTGGAAGTTCTTTCTCATGACCATCCCCCAGTAGGGGCCGGGGAGGCAAGGTGAGCCATCTCCACACTGAGGCCAGGATTCTAAAGCGGCTTAGCTACCCTGGCTAGTGCTGTGGGTTCATGAGCCCTGGGTGTGGACTTGACCTCAGAGTTGGCTGGGGAGGTTCCCTCAGCCCCATGGCTACGCTCCGGCCTCTGTCCCACCCTGGGTGGCCATGTGGCACTTTATACCACTGGTCACAAAGGAATGGGTCAGACAGCCAAGTAGCTCAGGGCAAGCGTATTGTCTCTGCTGAGAAAGCAGATCACACCCTCTCTCCTGAGGGGTCAGCGGAGCCCTGCTCCAGTCTGAAAGGCTGCCATTCTTGTTGGCAATGTGGCACTTTCCGTCTCTTGCTCTGAGAAAGGAATCTAAGGCAGGCTGCCATGGCCCTCTCTTCAGATCTCCCACTCCTTCAGGGAGCTGACCAAACGGAGGCCTTGATTTGATAACGGAGAACTCCAAGAGGCAGAGGGTCTTCCTAACAACTCAACGGCCCCCCTCCCACACACATAAGGGAGACCCCCAGGACAGCTATTTAAAGTACTGCTGAGCCAGTGGGCCAGGGAGGAGCAGCCTGCAGGACAGGTGGCCCTCCCAGGCTCTCAGGCAGACATTCCTGTGGAGGAGGGAATTCCTGGGGGTTGGGGAGCTGACAGGTGGATAAAGCAGACAATGCGGCCCTCCATGCAACGCATAGAAACACCACCCTCTGGAAGGAAAATCCCCAAGTAGAAAGAGATCAGTCTGTGGCCGACTTCTGCTCGTCTGTACGGCTTCTGTCCAGATCTCCAGGATTTTGAGGGAACTCTGTGATTTTCCCTGCCAAGACTGTCCGTTTTTCTGAGGAACATCAAAACCCAGTTCTTCCCATTGATCTACGTGGTGATTTCTGGGCACTATCTGGTAAATGGGTGAGCACCTTGCCCAGAAGTCTTAAATCCTACTGTATTTATCATTTATCAGAGAAAACAACAACCCCCGCTGGGTAGGGGTCACTGTCCCGGCTGCGTTTTTACCTTCCCATCAGCCCCAGTCCAGTGTCCCTCTGGTAACTGTCCAGACACTGGTGCCCAAGGTGGAAACACCACTTCTCCTCTCTCCTTTGGCTTACACAGGCTGAGAAGGAGGGGAGAGAACGAAGGCTGTAAGTCCCATAGGCTGTGACAGCCAAACCCACAGTGGGTTTTTAAGTGAGGCTGGGGAACTGGGATTCTGCAAGCTTGCCTCTGTCTGCTATATCCATACAACACATATATATGTGTGTGGGTTTCATTTCTCCCCATAATGGCCTAACAGCAATGATTAGTCCACATATTTACGTAGCACTTTCAAGTGTTCAGATTGCTTTCTCACACATCAAATCGTTCAACCGTATTCTTTTTGCCCTGGGTGAGCCAAGAGGAGAGGGGAGCTGCAGGCCGAGGCTGGCTGACTGCCCATGTGGACAGCTCCCGAGCTCCTGTCCAACTCTGAGCCGCAAGAGTCTGCCTTTGCCCACACCTGCTGAGGTGGACAGGTCCAGCAAGGCCCCAGAGCCAGGCCCAGAGGGACGAAGTTCAAGAAAGCTGGCAGAGGGGATCAGATGTGACTATAGCCGGGTTTCCATTCTTCCAGCAGGCACTTCCTACGGAACACTCCGATTTGCATAAATCTGCATATGCCTTGGCAGACCCAGCCGCTCAACCTCAGGTCATTTTCAGGTCAGGAAATTATAATGGCTTCGTTGTGTGCCTACAAGGCTGTTTTCTGCATCCCCTTCCTGCCCTGGCTCCCTCCCCTCTGTCTCCAGACCTCCGAGGAAGAGGAAAAGATGGTACAAGGTGTGCCCAAGACAGTGTGCCCAAGACAGTGTGCCCAAGACAGTGCTCCCAAGACAGTGCTCCCAAGCCTTCTGGAGCTGGCGGAATGCAGCCCAGTTCCCTGCTAGTCTGTTTGGAAGGCAGAATTCTCTGTGAGCTTCCTGCCTACCCACAGCCAGAGCAGGGCTTACCCGAGGACCCCCTTGGGGTCCCCACCCCCACTGGGCCCGGCCCCTCCTCTGCCCCGGATCTTACCAGACGCCACTGACACAGCGGGTGGATAAGGCTCGGGGGGCGATGGTGGAGCCCTGCTGCATGAAGCCCCCAACGGGAAACCAGAGGCTGTTGCCGAGGGAGTACTGGTTCACCAGGAGGTTGCACCGGCCCTGGGCGCATGGGTGGGGGCTGTACCACTCGTAGGGGGTCAACCTGTGGGAGAAAAAGAGCACAGACCAGTGCCAGGGAGGGTGGGTGTGGCGGAACATGCTGGGGAGAGTGGGAGGGGCTCTCCTTTCTGGCCTCACCTCTGTACTTCAGTCCCTGGCCTGTGGCTTTGGCTGGACCGGGATCTTCCCGACCAAAAACCGAGGGGCTTGGACTACGTCGGCTGTGTTTGTACTGCTTTTCTTCAATTAAAAAAAAATTTTTATTTTTTTAAAATAAACCACGATGTGGAACTCCAAACACAAAAAACAGATAAAAGTGCAGGTCCCTGACGAGAAGCTGGGCGTGGCAGGAGGGGATGGCTGGGAAGTGGCGTGTTCTGCCACCGCCAGCCCCCTAAACTGGTCACGGATGGACCTGAGGGCCCCACAGAGCCAGCGTGAAAACCCTCAGCCTAGAACAGTGGTTCTCAGACATGAGCCTACATCAGAATCACCAAGAAGGTTTGTTAAAACATAGACGGTTGGGCTCAATGCCTGAAGATTCCAATTCAGGGAGTCTGGGTGCCGACTAAGAATCTGTAGGGTCCTGGGTCACGTTGACGCCCCTGGTCCACACTGAGCAACCCTGACCTAGACAGTCCCTCGGGCTGTGGGTCTCAGACCTGTTCTGTGTCAGACTCACCTGGGAGCTTTCACAGAAACACCGATGATGAGATGCCACTCCCAGAGGTTCTGATTTCATCTGTCCAGCTGGGGCCTGGGCAACCGTGCTTTCTTAAGGCTCCGCGGGTGAGTGTGATGGGCACCCAGGATCGAGAAGGGCTGCTCTAAGCTCTCTGCCCCTCCCTCCCACCGCCCTCTCTGATGTCCAGAAGGCCCTTTCTTCCTGCCCACCAGACACACGCCTTCCGTCCTCGGATCCGCGGCCCCGGCCCGGCTCCCATGCAAAGCCTCCTGGCTCCGCTGAGAGGGATGCATATGGGTGTGTGCCGAGCAGGGCAGGCACCATGTGCTCACAGGGTCCCTGGGTGCTGTTCTCATCACCGGCCTTCCCATCCCTCCCCTCGGCCTAGCCTGCTTGTTGTTCTGCCATGGCTCACCCACATGGCCACCGCCCCTCTAGCTCCTGAATAGGATGACAGTGTGTCTTCACTGGCCCGTGTCCCGAGATGTGCTCCTTCTCCCCGTGGCCTACATAGCTGGCTTGTCCTCGGTGGTTTCCAAGCCCACAGGCTGTTGGAAGTGGGCTTCAGAGATACACATTCCCCATCCCTAGAGGTGCTGAGAGATCAGACCTGGGAATTCACATTTTTAAAGACTCCCTGTGTGACTCTGACATCAGCTGGCTTGGGAATGGCTGCCTTAGATTAGTGGTTTCCAAATAGTTTTCCCCCTCCAAAATCTCACCCAGAAGTACAATACATCAAGAGATAAAAGCGGAGCTGGTCTGAATGAAGAGGAGTTGAGGCCTCAGAGCCCAGCCTCTTCGCCACCCCTCCAAAGTCTCTGTCTGGCACCTCCCAGGAGCCTTCATGCCCCACGGAACCCTGTTTGAAAACTAGTACCTACCTAAGGTAGGTAAATTAGCCTAGGTTCATGCATTATTTATATATATAATATAATGTAGATATAGATATATACGGAGGTATTTTTTTGAATAATCCTTTTGTTAATGCTGGATCCTGGGGGCAGTTTGTGTGTGCGTATGTGTGTGCGTGTGTGTGTGTGCAGGGTAGGGAAGGGGGGCTGTTTAAGCCCCCGGGGCTGGTTGAAAAGCCTCAGGCTGTGGCAGGCATGGTAAAGCAGGCTCGTCCGTCTGTGTATCTAGTAACGAAGACCTCCGACCACTTCCAGGGCCCCCGAGGTCCCCTGAGAGCTTGGCTAGCTGCACACGGGGGCCCAATCAAAGGGTGCAAGAGTGCATTCCAGAGCCCGGAGCCAGGGCTCAGCACACAGCTTCCCGAGTGCAGCAGGACACAGCGTGGTGGAGTGGAGAGGGGACGTGTCATCCAGCGCGCCAGCCTCCTGCCATGTCTCGCCTATTGTCACTGACAACAGATACTTGACCGTGGCAATACCTCCAGGCCCGAGGGGGGTAGGTGGCACCCGAGAGACACACATAGCAGCCTTTTGAAGACTATCAGCTTGTAAGCCAGGCCTTCTTCTGTTTGGCTGGATCTCATGGGCTCAGGCTGACTTTCCTGAACTTGGCTTTGATCTCCACTGGAAGAGGCATAGACCGGGTGAGACAATGCTCCCTGGGCAGGCTGGGAGCTGCCCTGGGGGTTGAGCACCCTGGGGTTCCCTGGGGTTCTGTGTTCTAACTCGAGGGAGCACATGCTCTCCTTGAGCCGCTGAGCAGACATGCTCGGGGAGGGGGAAGACCTCGTCCCACAGAGGTGGGACATACACTGGAATCATCTGGTCCTGCCCCTGTGGCCCCGAAGCAAAGGAGACCACTACGGAGACGGCTGGGACAGAGTCTTCGCTAGCATTCTTGAAGCTCATCCTGTGGTTCTCTGCTCCCAAGTAACAGCCCTTTCTGGTCCTCCATTATGGTCAGCTGAGCACTGAGCAGAGAGCGGGAATTCTGAATGAGTGAGCCCTGAGCCACTGGGCTTGTTCTGCTTCTGGGTAGTAAGCTGGCTCTCCCGAAGCCCAGGCTGATCCAATGGCCCAGCCTCGGAGAGCAACAACCCTCTCTGTCCACATTCATGGGAGGCCTCAGCCATTGGATGCCCTCAGGTTCTTCTGTAGGCCCAGGGACAGTTTCTGTTTCCAGGGGAAGCGGAGGGCCTAATTATCCCCAACCCCTGATCTGAACCAGTTGTCGCAACTCAACACTACTTGCAAATGCCTCTCTCCATCCCACGCTCCTGTCGTGTGCCATCCTTCACGGCTCTCATTCAACAAGGCAGCTGTATTTTCACTGGCAGATCCGGGCTGGGGAAGGTCCAGGCCCTCTTCAGAGGAAACCTTCTCCCTCGCCCATGCCCTGAGGCCTCCGGTCCCCCCACCCTGGTTCTTGTCATTCAGCACTCTGTGGCAGATCCTGGCAAGGTCTGATGCCAGGGCAGCCAAACGCATAATGCTTAATCAGAGTAATCTTCCTGTCACCTTCCCCCTCACCCACCGTCTTCTATCTCCCAAGGCCCCCACACAAACAGAGGGCCTAGAGACAAGGCGGGGAGAGGCAAGGGTACAGAAGCAAATTCAGACAAGCTGGCTCGTCTGCCCTCTGCAAGGCAAGGAAGGTGTGCATAGGTGGGGGGATGGGTAGTGCCAGGTGGACAGCAGGGCAGAGAGCAGGTCAGGTCCCGAGTCCCTCTCCCACCCCTCCAGTGTGGCCCCAAGGTCTTCTGACCCCGCCCCTCCCACTTGCCACCCCTCCCATGCAGTTCTCAGAGGTGGACACGAGGTGGCAGTGCGAGGACAAGGAAGGGGAGAGGAGCTTACCGAGCCACTAAGAAGAGGACGCAGCTGACGGCCAGATAGGCTAGAAGCATGAAGAGCCAGACTCCGGGAGAAAATGGGTCCAGGAAGGAGAAATAGCCAGGTTTGCGTCCCTGGAAATGAAGACAAAACCAGAGTCACTGTACCCAGTCGGTCAGGATGGCCCCTGGGCAGGGTGGGGCAGACCAGAGTAGGTGTGGGGGGTGCAGGTCTGGCCCCAGACGGCCCTGCCCCCTGGGGTTCTGGGTGGCTGGTTTAAATGGCACTGGGGCCCAAGGTGTAGAGGGGCTGCTCCGACACCCAGCCAGCCCTGATCTCAGCAGACCAAACAAAGGGACAGCTGAGGCCACGTCACTTCCTAGGTTGAGGGAGGCTTTGTGCTGGGCAAGGGGAACAGGTCTCAGCATCCCTCATGTACCGCCCTGTGTACCCCCCCCCACCTCCCGGGGACGGCATGGTGGGCTCAGAGGCACCTTAGAGTCGCCGGTGTCCGCGGCGCTGGAGTTCGACAGCACCCCTCTTTGACACTCCTGTCTTTCTCATGAGGATGCTAATGTAACAGGCACCTTGGTTTTTTGTTTGCAGGGTGATCTGATGCACAGTGAGATTTCTCACGTTAACCTCAAAACAGTGCTGTGAGGCAGATTATTATTTTCATTTTACTAGTGAAGAAACCAAAAGCCCAGGGCAGTTGAGAGGTGGGGGGCCAAGGTCGCATAGCTAGTAATTGGGAGAGCTGGGACTCAAATGCACGTCTTCTGATACCAAGTTCAGGGCTCAGGTACCATCATGCTGTAGGGAGACATGGTCTGTCCCCAGCCCAGGGGTGTGCCCGGCCAGAGTCACGGGAGCCAAAGGATGGGGCCAGGAACAGAAACCGAGGCACCAAGCCCCCAGACGTTTTCTGGAGGAAAGTGAAATGGAATGAGCAGGATGGAGTTCAGTGAGCCCCTCTGTCTGTCGCTGCGTGGTCTTGGGCAAGTGCAAGCCCTTCTCTGGCCTTGGTTGGAGCCCCTTTAGATCAAAGGGGCCACACCGCTGTCTTACCACAGACAGCTCTCATACAACCTGCCTGTTTACCCTGCCGTGTTCGCCCATTCTATATTCGTTACTATCATGGATTGAGAGATTTCATATAAAAATCCAGATATCTGGCTTCTTTCACAAAACGGGGTGGTCTGGAAACTCTGGGTGGGCCTAAATCGCCAATGGCCTGGAGCTCAGTGGTGGTCGCCCCCCTCTACATGCAGCCTGCTCTCTCCACCCCACAGCTTCTCGGGGCAAATGGACATGGGTTCTAAGTGCCCTGTCGCTCATGACTATTTCACTCCGTGTCTCCCAATTGAGAGATACCCAGCGGGGGAAAAATCTTTCATTGTTGCTTTCTGAATCTGAAACCCCATTAGATGCTCAATGTCAGAAATCTATACCTGATTATATCACAACGGGTGAATTGAGGAAAATGACAGCACTATTTAAAGCTGCCATATTTGGTTATGGGTGATAAGGAATGATGCACAGTCATGGGAAAAATTCCTGGAGACTCAAGTTATAAAACATAGACCATCACACAAACAAGATCAAGACATAAACATAGCTCCACTGGAAATATATCAGTCATGTTGGCAAGAGAACATCTGATTCTACTTGTGATTGACTGATGCCAACCAAAAGAGCAAGGAGTGGGCAGTTATTTGAGAGTTGGGTCTGGGCTTATACTGCCTTGGTTTGGGCTGAGCCCAGGCTGTTTATACAATGCCAAAGAGAAGTATGTTATTTGCAGGCTCCAAACTCCTACGATTTTTTTCTATGCAGATGCTCTGGATTGCTTCTTTACCCCAAAGACATCAGAGTTACTGGTGCTTGGGGGCAAATCAGGTGTCATATGCCACAGGCATTTCCTCCAAATAACAGATTCTCCTTAACCCAGAGGATATATGATGGCAATACTTCCAAAGAACTCAGAATGTTTCACTATGTTCTCTTGATTTCAATACCCAGTTCTCTATATTGACAGATGGAAGAACGGAGACCCAGGGAGGTTAAATGCCTTGCTCAAATCATTGGCGATGGCTTCAATTTCTCTGGTGCTCATTCATCATGCCGTGCCACAGGTATGCCACCCCTCCTTCATTCAAATGGCCTCTGTACCGCACCTTCCTCTCCTTTTTATCTTTGCAACTTGCTCCAGTAAACCCCCTAATTAATCTCACGCCTTCTCCCCAATGCCAGCAGAATCCCATCCTACCCTATCTCAACCCCTTAAAGTCCTCTTCAACATTATTTATTTATACCCATCATCATTTATTTTGACTCTGTTGTATTTAGAGGCATTTGTATTGACTTATACATGTCCTGTGGGCTGCAAGTTGGGCCAGTTCCTTCTGGTGACTACAACCACTTTGAAGGTAGATAATTGGTTATATATAGTCTATGCCCCAAATGTCCAGGACAGGCCAAGCCCTGCAGATGGAGCTGAAAATTAGACAGCACCAAAATTTAACTAGTTCCTTGACTTTTTTTTAAAGAAAGACTTATTTGAGAGAGAGAGAGCGTGCAAGCGAGCAGTGGGGAGGGGCAGAGGGAGAGAGAGAGAGAATCTCGAGCAGACTCTGGGCTGAGTGCGGAGCCCAACGCAGGGCTGGATCTCACCACCCTGAGGTTATGACCGGAGCTAAAACCAAGAGACAGGCGCTAAATTGACTGAGTCACCCAGGTGGCCATAGTTCCTTGACTTTTGTACTGTGTTTCAGGCTGACCACACCAGAGCCAGCATTCTCATTGCTGTCTGATAGTGGGAGAGACCCAAGGGGCTGGTCACCAACTGATCAGCATCCCAGCGTGGGGAGACCCTTTGAATGTTAGCGGTAGAGCTGCAAAGTGGCACTAAATTCCCCTTGCATGTCAAAAATTGCTCTTGTCCTTAAAGATAATCTGTTGACTCACAGATACTTCATTCTATGTGTACTAGAAGAAATGACATTATAGTGAGAATTCAGTTGCTTTCCCAGAGTCGGAGCCAGATGTATAAAGACCCCAGAGCCAGGTAATGCAGGACAGGCAGTAGATTAAAACACAGACTCTGGAGCTAGCCTGCCCAGGACTGAATCCTGGCTTTATCATTTACAACTGTGTGACCCAGAACAAGTTACTTAACTTCTCTGGGCCTCCATTTCCTCTTTTGTAACATGGGTGTAACAATAAAACCTGCCTCGGGGGGTGTTTTGAGAGCTGGATGAGTTAACGCATAGTAATAGCCATGTGTGGCGGCTTTCCCTCTGTCTAATGGTAGCCATGAGCGCAGAGGGAGGGAGGAGGGGGTATGCGACAAAGGACAGAACTTCCTTTTATATTGTTTCTCCCTCAACGGACCAGAAATACCTTTTTCTGTCCTACAGTGACAGATGCGAACAATGGTTGGGGAGAGAATGCCATGAGGCCACAGTCACATTCCATAACTCCTGGAGTTTCTATGGGTTATACTCCATGAGTCATGAGGGTTCCCCAGGGCTCTCCAGGGAAGCCATTAGGGCAACACCAGGCTCTATTCTGGAAGGATGGTTCTTAGAAGCCAATGATTGCAACCTCAGTTCCGCCTCAGCCTTCCCAACCAAGTCACAGATGGAGTGGGTCAGATGTGTGGTGGGTTCTCCCGTGTCCGCAGAAGGGCTGTGCATCCTGGTCCCCCTTTCCTTCGTGGTCACAGCAAACAAACTAGTGGTACTGACTCTCTTCCTTCCCTGCACCCCCTCCCCTCTCCCTCAGAGCCAAGGACAAAGGCTCCTCCTGTCCTCCAGGTGGTCTTTACAACTAAATGGCAACGTATTCAGAGGTCTCCTTCAATTCTCAGCAGCGGTAGATAATCAATAAAATACTCTTTAGGGCTGAAGAGATAAAAGGAGGCAGTGTCCATGTCTCCTTCTGGAAGAGGCAGAAGAAGATGATTTCCTCCCATCCCGCCCCAGGAACCCACGGGTAGCTTTCCTCTGGGTGTCTGCAATGGACTGTCTTGATGATACTTGGGTTTAGCATGCACTTCCCACCTCTGAAGCCAAGAGGGAAAAAGAAACAAGCACTTAATTCCTTCTCACATAAAACACCCACATGAGTTTGTTGCCTGTGTAACCCACACACTAGCATATCTATTTTCACTCTGCTGGTTGGAAATCCAGTATGAGGAGATCTAAATTCTAATCCTGGCACTGACTTTGGCCTGCTGTGTGATTCCAGGGAGGCCACTCAACTTCTCTGGGTGCCATTGTCTTCTTCCAGAAAATGGGTCCCAGCCATCAACATGAAGGGGGAATGTGAGAATTACTACAGTAATGTTGATAGAACACCTGAGGCTTCTTGAGATAGGAGCGCCCAATACATAACCAATATTAAAATGATGATACACCCAGGAAACCATATTTCCATGTTATGGGCTATCATGTTACTTAGCCTTAAGGAATAGAACGCTGCATTTTCTGTTTCCTTATAGCAGAGTATTAAGCAGTATTAGAAACGATTCACTGGTTTACTTAGCATTGTTCTCCATTTTTCTAGACAGTCTTTCTGAAATGAAACAGACCTTCTTCAAAAAAACGGGTCATATATCCAGCGAAAATGTGGGGCATTAATTTAATTTTGGCATTTATGTCTCTCTTACTTTTTAATCACTGTCTGCTTTTTTTTTTTCTTTACTTTTCTTGACAGAGAAGACTCTAGTTAAGAGTTAAGGAGAGAAAAAGAACAGAGTATAAAACCTTCCCATTTGTTAAAGGTGGAGTAGGACATTGTAGGGGGAAAATAACAAAGTCACATTTTCAAGGGGGTCTTAGATGCTCTGGCTAGCTGGAGACACTATACAGGATAGGATAGTATGGGATAGACAGTATCCTCAGATTAGAAAGGATCTAGAATGTTCCCCTGACACACGGCCCTGACATGGAGAAATGCACCTAACTGTACCATAAAGATGGATAGTTGGAAGTGTATGGGCTTGGGGACCAGAAACTTGGGTTCAATGCCCCACCCCAGCCACTGTGCTCTCTCTTCTTTCCACAGCACCACTAGCCACCACGGCCTTAGCATCCTTCCGTGTAAAATGGAAATCAACTACCTGCCCCTG